TGGTTTTGGCATACTGTGAAAGACTAGAACTGCATTGTGTTTGTAGACTGTGTATTTTAGAACCCCGATTCTGTAAACAGCAATAAAAATAAAGTTCATTAATGATACCTGAGTTACAGCAGTTAAAAAAAAAAAACAACAAACCATGTTGATATTGAAAAGGAATCATGTCTCTTGTCCAAACCTGTAAAGCAAAAAGAACTTTACTTGCATTCCTCAGTCCAAACTAAAATGTCCCGAAGATGTATCTAAAGCTGCATCTAAAACGAAAAGGTAGAATGTAGACCTGTAGCTGGGATGTAGTTGTCTGAATGCTGGGCATATTAAACATGTCCAGATTTATTGCAGGTTGCCATCTTTAACTTTGATCTGAATTTATTTTTTTGGGGCAGAAACCTCTGGTGTAAGGAAGGTTTATGATGTTTGTGTGGAAATACAAATGCATGTGCTGGATGATAAAATGAGGGGTTTTTTTCAGCCCCATCCAGAGAACTGGGTCAGTATGTGGCCGCATATATTTTGTGCTCTCGTGTTCCAGTAGTATATAGATAATATAGAGAGTGTAGTGCTGCTTTTGATCTCTTCTAAGACAGAAGAATGTTAGAGGGAAATTTCAAAACACGTTGGCCAGGCTTGCAGATGCTCATTGATTCCCAAGTATGCACTCCTGATGTTGTGTCCCCAGAAACCTCTGTTGTGAAGTAATATGGAAAGGGATAGAGGCAAGTTTTGGGTGAAGACTGACAATAAATTAACTTATTGCATGGAATCTGTTTATTGTTAATTAAGATTTACACTCTTTTCTAAAGACTAAATTTTCCTTTAGCCTCTGCTTAATCATATTTTTTCCTTTAATGAGAATATTTTAATCACATTAAACTACTTCTAATACTTACATTTATTATTCTGTTCTGGTGTGATAATTTACTCCTAAATATAACATGCAATTTAGTATGAATTCTGTTTTGGGGGTGAAAAGACTTTATACAAACGTGGGTATTGAGATTTCTTTTGCAGACTGCATGGTTACTAGATGAAGTGCAGATTCTGGTGAAGTGAGACCCCCTAGATTAAAAAATGATCCTAGGAATTGGTGATGGCTTTGCAATGAAGATCTTTATCTTTTAAACTAAAGCAGTGTGTTCAGGGATAATGCGGAAAGAAAGCTGAGCTCTCTACTTTTCAACAGCAGGCTTCTGTTAATAAGTTAATGTTTTAGTTTAAAACCCAAATGTGTGGATAAGACAATGTTTTCTTATTGATTTAATGTTGGTAAAGGCTTCACTTCTGTGGAAAAAAATTACTGAGTTTCTGCAGATGTTTTATTGTGATAGATCTATTATCCAGCTATTAGAAGATAAATGACTGATCTTTTCCAGTTTCCTTGCCTCCAGAAAATTGAAATAAGAAGGGGAATATCATTTGGGCTGTATGATTAGGGCAGGTGGGGTGGCCATTAATTTGAGAGAGGAATCTTGGCAGCATAGGCCAACTTGCACTGTATTATCAATCAAACCTCGATGCACTTCTTGTGATGACCCAGCACTCAGGTTTTTGCAGCGTTAATTAGAATTCATGACAAAATAGATGCAAGGAAACGTTTTGTACCCTTCATAATTTTATAGAAAATTTATTGTTATTAGAGGAACCATTTGCTTAGTGTGATTTTTTTCATTACCAGCTTGTCAACTAGCATAGATAATCTGGAGAAAATATGAACTCCATAGATTGGGTGTCACTTTTGTTGATGGTTCATGTAGTTTACCTTGGAGCACAGCTAATGGCTGAAGTTCATAGCAACAGCACAGAAAAACGTGGCAACCAGTGGAAGACAAATGAACCATGTTTATTGCTTTAATATAAAAAATACATAAATGGAAAGCAGCATTTGAATTTGATGAGCTCATTGCTAGTTTTGTTGGAATGATTTATATTTTCTCCTCATACAAAAAGCTACTATTGACACAGTGAGATGGAAATTAACTGACTGTTTTTTGGAAACCGATATTTTTTGGTTTTATATTCTGATTGGATCATTTTGTTTTAATTCTAAATATTTTTATGGAATGTTGAGCATTTAATAAACAAATATTATTAGCTGTTCCTCTGATGTTTAGATGTATAGTAGGATCATACTATAGGGGAAACTGTCAACTGGAAAATAATCTCTTATTAAGAAAGCATTAGGAAATTTTCTCAGATAAATTCTCTTGTTACCAGTGCATTTCCGATCTGTCTTACATTCTCACTTTTTTTTTTCCCCTTTCAAATGAAAAGCCTCATTTTGGAAAATGCAATAATGGGGAGAGGGGCATGATCTTAAATAGTGTCATGATGTATGGCAATTCCTGTATTAACTTGTAAATCTAGGGACTCGCTGCAGGAATAAAATGCTTGTTCATCCAGTGCACCTCTTGGATTTCATAGAGTATGTTCAAATTTTTATTAATATCTTTTAAGCCTTCACAAGTGACAGCATTCTCACTGTAAACTTGAGTAGGTGACTGATGGGAATTGAAATAAGTAACTATTTAGAATTCTTGTATTTCAGTATGACTATTTCTTTGTATCAAATTGTTGTGGTTTACTCATAGTAACTGAACTTGTTAAAAAGCCAGCACTGTTCATAGGATACGTGCTCAGTTTTAAAAGATCTAAACTAGTGTTATATGTATTATTTTGTGTCAGCTTTCAAACTATATCATATCCAAATGAATGAGAAATACAGCAAAATGTGTGTGCAGTACTAATAACAGTAAAAGGCAGGGGTATGCACTCCAGAACTACAGTCAGACACCAGCATCTGTGTTGTCCTTCACCTATGAACCTAAAAGGGTGTTTTTAGATGTTAGGCTGCAACTATTCTTGTAGGCATAAATCAACCTGTGTGTCAGTTTCTCTCCCCACCTCCATCTCTCCCTCCTTTTCTCCCCTTGTATGTCAAACCTGTCAAGAGACCCTATAGTGTCTTACAGTGTGGAGGAATAGAATACCCATAATAAAGTCTATGGGACAATGACCTAAAAAAAGGTCTCTATGGTCTGAAAGTGTCATCCCTTTCTTCTAAAATTTCAGATCCATCACACTGTCCTCTGCAAGTTGGCCTTAACTGTAGGTCAGAGTTTTGCATCCTGATAAAATTGCTTTGCTGCAAGCAAGTTCTAACACATCAGTCTTCCCACCCTTCCTCTCTTCCATCCTCAGCTTATCTGGCCTAATTGAATACCTACTTAGGAGTGATAGTGATTTGCCTGGAGTTAACCACTGTCTTCTGCTGAGCTTTGAACCCACACCTAAACATCAACTCACAGCAATTTTTAATTGCAGAATAGCTCACTGCAGCACGTTGTTGCGAAGAAAGTTTAGTACAACATAAAAAAAAGAGCTTTTGTTTCTGTGATACAGCAAAAACCAGCAAATTATTTTAGATGTAAAGTGTGTTTTATTTAACTCTATCAAATAATCAAATTTTGCTCCCTGGAATGAGTTGTATACTTGCTGGGACCAGCAGGTACCAGTATGTGGACGGGGCTGGAGACAATAAATGCAACTTCACGTTTATTCTTATTGGTAATTCATAAAATCCCCACAGAGCCTGAAACTTGTTTAGCATAATAGCAAGACTATATTCTGAGCTGTTTTCTTTCAATTGTAACGTTGGGCACATACTAATAAACGAAATGTCAGCCAAATACAGGGAGAAAAATGTAACATATGAATATCATTGTATTTAATATTTCTCAAAAAGTACCATTTCAATAAACTGCATTTCTATTTAATTGCTTACTTTAAGTCATTGGGGAAATTTTAGAGGTTGAAATGCAGATCCCCAGTGCTCAGATAGAATATGACATTAATTTGCTGCCAGAAGGCTATACTGCATGCATGCTAACTGCATACATATCAGCTGCTTCATATAAAGTCTCATCATTTTAGTTATTTGACTTAACACGTGCTCTGACACAAAACAAATCTTAATTAAAGCAATTAGAAGAGAAAGAACAGTAATTCCAGGCACACAATGACATGTCCTTATAATGCATGGTCAGCTTTTGAGGTTTTCCCACAGTTCAAGTAACCTGCTGCCAGAATTTTAACAGGAACCCCAATATATGTGTCCTTTCTTCATTTTTAAAAGAAAATACGCCATCAGAAGGTTTCGATAAGCCTTGAGGTGTTGGAATGTTGAGAATCTATTTAATTTTCTCATGAAAACAAAGGTGGTTTTATAATCATAGTCAGTATGAGGATGTTTGTGTGTATATATAAAGATTTATTTCTTATCAAGGCAAAAAAAAAAGTGTGAGGACATAGCAGGGTATACATGATCCATTCCTGTAACTTTGGAACTGGTAGGGAAGTGCTGAACAACATGCAGAAATTCTGCTTGTCTTCTTTGAGGAAAAAGAAGTATTAATATATCTCTGTATTGTATTGCTGATTTTTATGCCTTTTTTTGCAAAGTATATGCATGAAACTCTAAATACAAAATTTCTTATGTTGGTTAATTTGGCCATATCGAGAGAGAAGTTTGGATCCCAGTAGTGCTGGGGAACTTACCCCAGCTTCTCTTTAGTTTGATCACACCAGTGTTGATAAGAGAATCCCAATAGACCTTGTCGGGCATATGGCTGTATTAGACTTCTTGTTGTTTCCTGTTATTTCTGAGTTAATTGCAAGTTCTCTGATAATTTATTTGGAAACTATAACTGTAAGAAAAAAAATTTATGCTTACATTGCACTGTGTCTTCAGGGCTGGGAGCTAAGATTTATGTGTGTAATAGAAACAGCAAATGTTTTCTCTGTTCTAATAAACTTACCCCAATTCTATTTTAAATAAGATACCACTTCTGTGGGCTTGGGGTTTTTTGTTGTTGTTTCTTTTCACTGAATAGAAACAATTTGAAATTGCTGAGAATTGCTAGTATTAATTCTGATTCTCACTTGTGGATGAACTGTAGAAGGAACACTGACCTTCTGGTTTATATTTTGTTTTCTAGCTGGTAGCTGGGAGCGTTGTGATGGCATTTGAGGAAGTGTGTCCAGATAGAATAGATCTGATTCACAAGAACTACCGAAAGCTCTGTAACTTGTTGGTTGACGTGGAAGAGTGGGGTCAAGTTGTTATAATCCACATGTTAACTCGATATGCACGTACACAGTTTGTAAGCCCATGGAAGGTAAGTTTGTGTCTTTTTAAATTACTGTGGTGTGTTTGCATTCTGAATTATTTCCATTGTTGGATATACGTAGTCTTTTAAGGTGCATTTTTATGCAGACTTTAATAAAAATAGAAATCAAATGTGTAAGTTTTAGCTCTCTGAGGCTTTACTAACACAAGGCATCCACCCTTCTTCAGTGCACACAAATTCTCCTTCCAGGCTGTAACCTGTTCTGATTTACCCCGGGTACATCCCATGGGCCGTGGGAAGCAGAGAGAGTCCTTTTTCTGTGGTTCTTTGAGCAACATGTCTCTTTGCTCTGGGGGATTTTACGTGAGTCAGAGCTAGGAAGGTTTGCCATTCTGTCCTGAAACTGGGTAGAATCTGCTTTCTTTGTAGATAAGAATACCCAGTATCACAGCAAGGTGAACATTACATTACTTGTCTAGGCTTTGTTAATGTGCTGAGGGACTGTGTGGAGACTTGAATATATATTTTTGAAATGTGCAATGTAAAAAATATTGTGGTATTTTCATTTATATTATGTAAATATGAGTATACTCTTACTTAAAATTTATAAAAAGGGACATTCAAAATATAAATCCTATCACTTCTGACAACAAAGAGGTAGGCAGCTCAAGAAATTCATGCTAGTAACATTCGTTTCAATAGGGATTGAACTGGATAACAATTTGAATTAAAAGACGGAATACTTTTGGAAAGAACTGTATAAAATTGCTCCACAGCTCTGGTTGTTTGCACGTATTACAGGCTTGGGAGTGTTACTACTGTTAAGTTTTACCATTTAATTTGAAACTAATTCATGCTTAAAGATGTACATATTCTTTTTTTTATATATATATACTCTTTTACAGCAGTAGTTGGAGATGGACTTTGTATAGTTGCACAAAAAGATGTTTGGGGTACCTACTTGTAATGAATATAAGGTGATCCCAGAACTTTAGAGAATGTTTCATAATTTGATTTTTTTTTTTTTTTTTAATTATTATTAGTTCTCTGTATTTCTTTAGACTGAAGTAGTTCTGCTATAGCTCGGCTAATGTCTCTTAACACTTCTGTTCAGGCATTGTTATTTCAGTGCAGATTATTGTGGTTTGTAATTAGCATGTTAACAATTTTAAAGGTTTCTTTTTTTCAGCATTGGAATACAGAATGACACCAGCTATCACTGAGTTCTTTCAGACTCTGTCTTTTAATACCGTTTGCTTGGGAATCAGACTGAAACGCAGTAGCATACTATGTTAATACATGTATAATTTATTATGTGAAAATAATTATAAGGAGATGTATTTGGAAAACCAGCTAATTTCAGCCTGATTTAGTTTACAGTTACAGTCACTTCTTAAATAAGCACGGGTTGTAATGATTAGAAAACTAGAAGCACAGCAAAAATGTCTGGAGTAGAGTCATATTTTTCCCATCAGTTGGGTTCTGGAGCTCCCTTTTTCTTTTCAGATGAAAATTAAATTGTTTGTAAGAACATGTCTTTCCAGAAAATTGCTTAAAATAAGGAAAGTCTTTTTAGATAATGAGACACTTAAGTAATATGTTTTCCTAATGTCCTTGAGGCAGAGTGTTTATTACATGTTGCTTATTGAAAGTAAGTAACTTGCATTCTTCTCTCTGACCTTTAGAAAGAATCAAAATTGATAATTTGCTTTGCCAAGAGCTACACTTTCACAATTGATTTAAGCTAGTTTTAGTCTGTGATCGGACAAAGTAAGAGTAGAAGAGGATGATGACCTCCTGTCTTGGACTGAGAGTTTGGAGGTCTTGATGGGATTAGGTTTCTTTAGGAGTCTAATGTACTTTTTTTCACTGAAACCGGATGGATGACAGTTCTTGCTGTGGCTTCTGCTCTAGGAGTGTAAAAGGTTTGTGTAACAATACTGCCTGTGTCAACATAAAATTAGTCATCAGTGGTATAGTATTAATAACACTTCGTTTCCACTTTCATGAGCTTCAGTGCAAAATTTAGTTTGTCTACCAACTCAGCAATTAAATTAGCAGATTTTTTTTTTCTGGGGCTAGTTGAAATGCATGCCTTTGTCAATAGGTTCTTAAATGAGCTCATCATACAACAGGGCATCTTGTGTAGTAGAAGAGTTTTTTAATTTAGCTTATTTGCATCATTATGGATCAGTATTTAGGTTGTTTATATGTAAATGTATGATTTGAGGAACAATTAAGTGTTGACAAAGTAGATTGCAGTCATATCAATTGCAGTGCATTTTCCATAATTTTTCTAACTGACATCTTTGATGATAAATAGTGGATGCCAAGTCAAAGCCGATTATACAGTGCACTAGGAATTCATGGCGCTGTCAGGGAGAAGACCGATTGACTTTAAATTTACATATTAATGAGAAGATTTGTTAAGAGGGTGCTTGACTATAGAAAATAACAGCATATTTATAGGGCACGACACTTTATAAATAAAGCTGATGCAGGAAAATGGAAATTAAACCTATCAGATTAATAAATTCAAGGCTCCTAAAATGCATATTTGCATTTTTATTCACTAAAATTTACCTTACTTTTTGAGAAATGTATGCTGCTTTTGTTCAAGTTGAGCTAATTCCCAACAAGTAATGGTGTAATGTTTTGAACTGATTTCTTGTGCATTGAGCTAATTCCCAACAAGTAATGGTTTAACATTTTTAACTAATTTCTTGTGCATTTAGAAACCTGAAGAAAAATTTGGAATACTTAACAGTTATGGAGAAAGATCCTTTTTTTAAATCAATGTGCTTAAAATTGTTGCAAAACTTTAATCGAATTACCTGTTAACCAAGAATACTTAGTTTTATATTCCTATTTTTAGCTTCTCTGAAGGGTAGAATTTTTAATTCTCATCATGAACACTGTGAGGAAGAATGTCCTTAGTTTATCCTATTTGTCTTGAAATACTTAGAGGGTGTTTTTGAAGCAGTTACATTTGAAGTGAATAGCAGTTTCGGAATAACCTTTTTTCATATGAACTGTATTCACCTTTAGCATGTATTAACTGGAATGAGAGCAAGACATTCATATTCTGGAGTGAAAATACCTGCTCAGGTCTAACTAGGAAGAACAGTTTCCTGCCCTTGTCTCAGGAGTTGTCGGGACTGCTGAGTTGTTTGCGAACAGCCTCTGAACCGTTACAGCTTGCAGCCTAATACATGAAGATATTTAAAATAAAGTTGCTGTTGGTTTCCATGAATGTGGTGAGTTGCAGTCTAGCAGTTCAGGAACTGATTTTCAAGCTGTTCAGCCATCTCTTTTTCTGCAAGGAGATGAGGATCACAGGAGGTAGTGACTGCTTCAGCTGTCTTGGTATATAGATCCACCACCAAATGTGCGTGCTGTGTGGGAGGGTGTCTTCGAAAAACAGCTGACTTGGTCAGAAGTTTTGTGGTCATTGTAGAGAGCAAAATGGAGCTGGGAGCTGCAGTCTTGCAAAAACCAGTGATTCTTGGGACTGCTCAGCTTCCTTTCAGACAACGGCAGGTTACAGAAATAAACTTTCTTGGTGTTCAATTAATATTGGAAAAAAATGGCGAATTCAGATTGATTATGGTCTTCAGTCATAACAAGGTTATTTATAAACAAGTACTTCCGAGAAGCATGTCTCAAGCTTAAACTTTTAGGATTAATCATTGAAGTATTGCTCAATTTAAAGTGCTCAGAATTTGCCATAACGGGGGGGGGGCAGGGCAGAAATTGAGTCCAAAGAAAATTATCTAACAGAATAAGGACTTTAGGAGAAAAAAAGCAAGTCTTTGAACCTATACACCTAAAACCATGAATCATGGAAAGCAGCTTGGCTCTTGAGGAATTACAGGAAGAAACACATTGAAAATATTTATGTTGATTGCTAGCTCTGACAAAATATTGAGGTCCCTTCTGACCTCAGCCATTCTGTGATCTCTAGTCTTTTGTTAAATGCCTTAAATGTTTCCTGCTCTTGTAGCTTTTTCTTAGTATCTTATAGTTATGAATTCTTAGTGTATTCCATAAAGGCCATGGTTATGTGTGATGGAATCAAGTGTCTAATGGCTACTTAAGATGGCTTAGCAATGTCTAGTACTGCTCTAAGTAAGTATGTATTTTTTGCTCCCCGTCTTGGGGTACACATTGAGTGAACTGTAATTGTAAATTATAAAGCTTCAAGCACAGCGTACAGGGAATACTGTCTATCCTTAATTTTTGTAGAACTTGTTACCTCTGTAAAGAGTATTCTGAATCGGTTCTGCTGGGTTATTGCAGGAGAGCATAATAAAACTTCTAAAGCCTGTCTGAGAGGCTGAGAATGGAAGAAAGGAAAGGTGTATTCAGGTTGATAGTCTGTTAACTAGGTGGATTACCTAGATAAAGTGATAAAAATGAAACAAGCTAAAGTACTTTAAAAATATTCTGTATGTAAATCATTCATTTAATAATTAATCAACCTGAATACACCTTTCTCCTCTTCTGTTCTCAGCCTCTCTGTAGAGCATTTAGAAGTTTTATTATGTTCTCCTGCAATAAGATGATGAGTAAGGAGACATAGATAGTTGAACACATCTAAGAAATATTGAGAATAGGATTCAATCTTTTAGGATCAAATTAATCAAGATATGTTATGTATTAGTACATTCTAGACCTTACTGAAGTTTCATTGTAGATATTTGTGCTGTGTGGTTCTACCAGATGATAGTTTTGCTGATTTCTTTTTTTTCATTATTTTTTCCCCTGCCTTTCTCGAATATTATTTTTTTTTACATGGCTTTGGTTAGCAGCAATTTAAGATTTATTAATATTTTTGAGATAGATCAGAGTATTAGGTTGTATAATTCTTAACAACACTTAAGTATCAGCCAATTTGAAACAGCTGTTGGATGGAATTTGTTATAATCAAGACAGCACCGCCCTAAAAGATTATGAGGTCAGATAATTTCATAGAATCACAGAATGCTTTGGGTTGGAAGGGACCTTTAGAGGTCATCTAGCCCAACCCCCCTGCAGTGAGCAGGGAC